AACCCAACCATGAAAGTCGAGGCTCTTCCCCTCCAGTTACATTCACAATGGTCTATGCCAGTGCCCCAGCCAGGACAAGTCCATGGAGACTGAGCCAGGAAAACATGCATGAGAATGCCCACCCTAGTTGTGGCCCACTCCCCTGTTCTCCTGGCATCCAGACATGGTGTCACTCTGAGGATCACTCAGAGAATCAGATGGTGGCCTCACCTGAGCAGACCACCTCTGCATCCAGCTGGAGGTCACAGCCACTGCGGAGATTGTTGTTGAGTCTGCAGTTACGAATGGTTGGCTCAGTGCCCTTGCATGTCATGTACTTCCTGACAACACCCACTTCTTGGCGGGAGGCCTGGAGTGCAGGGCCACATCCCAGCTCCTGGCAGAACACTGTGGCCTCCTCCAAATGCAAGCCACACAGACGGTCCACCCCATTCACATTCTTGATCTCAGGGAGTCCTGCACAAGGACTGTGGCCCTTCACCAGCCGGATCTCACGGAAAGTGCCATCTGCGAAGAACAGGTCCATATGGCAGAAGATGCAGACCCTGGTCAGCCTGTAGCCTGCCTGGTTACAGGTGTTGCCAGATGTTTCCATTCAACTGTGGCATCCCTACCAAGCACTCCACTCTGGCCTGAGATTCTGACAGGGACTGCAGCCTGAGAGTAGACCTGCTCTCTCAAGGATATCAGCACTGGGCTGAGTCTGGAAAGCTTCAGGGGCAGGTAACCAGGCAGTCACACAGAATCCTGCACTCAGAGAGGCCCTGCTTGGAGGGGATCCATGCCTGCATTAATACTCTGCTTTCACTCTTGAGTCTTAATCTTTTTTTTTTTTTTTAAGAAAGAGTTATGCTATAGGGCACATGCACTCACCAGAAAGGCAGACAGACAGACAGAAAGCAAGAAATCACCTCCTGGGGGATGACCACACAGTAATCCTTTTTCTCCATTCTCCCTTCGGGGTTTTGGGCATGCATGCACATGGGCCCAGCATGAGTTTTAAGTTGCTGGGCCCATGTGCAACTGTGGTCAACTGCATAGGAGTCCAGAAACAACCATTATGCCATCTGCTGGTCCCTGGATTGTCACTTGGCACTGGGACCCAAAATTGTGTTAGAGGACCCTGGCCAGGTGGTTCAGCTTCAGATTACGGGATGCCATGAGAGGGTCTTCACAAGTGTGTGGCTACATAGAGTGCCCAGACACAACTGAAGACTCTCAACCCAGACCACAGAGGGAAAGCATTTGCCTCTTGTCCATTCATGTAAGAAATCTGAGTAGATACCTGTGCTGGCCCCTCAGACCCTCCTCAAACGTCTATAAACCTCACTCCCTCCCCTCTACCCCATTTATTTCTGTTTATTCATATCCAGGCACAGCTCTTTTTTACTTCTTTGTTTACTCTCTCTCTCCCTGGAAAACCGACTATAGAGCAGGATTTTTGTCAGGTTTATTCACAGCTGCATCCTCAGCTCTTAGAACTAATTATTTGTTGAATGAATGACGAAGGGCACTAAACACATAGACACTAACAAGTCATAAGCAATTAGAACATTCTACTGTCAGGGTGGTTCCAGTGCCCAGTGAGGAGCCCCTGACAGAGAGAGCTCCCAGACCCACCTCCTATCCCCCTTTCTCCCCAGGCCCATTTCCTCCATTCCCTCCACATCCCCCTCCACTCCAACTTACTTGCACACAGAGCAACCACCACCCACTCGTGGGGGCACACACTCTGACTCCATGCCCCAATATTGCACTCCCAGAGGGAAGACTCATTGCCCCAGCATGACACGTTGTGGAGCCAGGGCTGGGCTATTTCTCCGAGCAGCGGGACATACTTGGGGGCACCCACAGCATGGCCACAGCCCAGCTGCCTGCAGACTACAGATGCCTCTGCCAGAGTCCATTCCTGGTTGCACAAGTGTCCCCACTCTCCGAGATGTTGCACCAGCACCACTCCATCACACGGGCTGTGTCTGTATGCCAGCCTCAGGTCACCTGGTCCATCTTCAAATGAACAGGGTCTGTTAGAGGGGTCAGAACTGATAGGGGGATCCTGGGGGTTGAGGGGACAGCAATGACAACAGCAAGTATGAAAGCAATAAGGGCCAGTATGGTGGTGGGTGATGATGCCACCTGCATTTGACTGGGGCAACCTCCAAGGCTTGCTATGAAGTCAGAACCCACCTCAGCAAAGCACTGTCAGAAAGGTGAGGAGAGGGGTCACACAGGACCTCCCAATGCCCCCTTGACTTGCAGTTCAGCATTCTCTTCCCCACTGTTCCATGTATCTCTCCCATCCTCTCTGTCCCCCCTCCCCCAGCCCTCTGGAGTCCCAACATCATGGGTAACCTCCTGAGCAAGGAAATCCCTTTGTCCTGTTAGGCCTAGACCTCATGTGGCTACTTCTGCCTCTTCTCTTGCCTCCTAAATGTCAACTTCCCAGCTCTATTAGAGACCTTACAGTCTCCCAGCTTCCCCAGAACTCTTTCTCATTCACCCCTACTCCTACATGATCACACACCCTATTGTCCTGTGCCCACATACCCTCCACCCCCACCCACTGCAATTTCTTGGCATCTAGAAAAAATTTACCTTCTTCTTGTCCTCCCTCCCTCCTCCCCTTCCAATCTCCACCATTCTGAGCCCCATCCCCAACATGCCTGCTACCTCCAGAAAGTTCCATGGATCGAGAAAGAAGAAACTTACCAATGGGAACTGCCCTGAGAGTGAGAAGAAGGGGCCCAAGTCCCAGGGTCCAAAGAGCTTCCCTCATTGCCCCACAGACCCCTGGATGTCAGGAAGCTCTCACCACTTAGATGGAGAAATGGTGGAGGTCGCAACCCAGAGTTGAATATATAGATGTAGGAGCTGCCTGCAGTTCCGTGGGGCCAATGAGGAGAGTGGGGACCTTTCCAGAGCGTATCAGCAGCTCTCTCAGTCTATGAGCAGAGCAGCCAATGGCCTTTTTGGACCAGAGCATCACCAGACATGAGCGAGAGGCCCAGGCTGTGGGTTTCCTCCCATACTGATAACTGTTGATGGGGAGCGTCACCCAGACCCCACAATCAGGCAGGTGGTCCGATACACCCACAGCACCGCAATAGTGAAGCCATGTGTCTCTGTGCCTCAATGCAGGCCCACTGACTTCAGCCCCAACACGCCTATAGCAAGTGAGGTAGTGATATCAGGCAGCCGAGAGCCTTGTCCTCTGCCCCAGCAGTTGGCACTAGCAGGGACTGAGTGGGAATCCCAGCAGCACCAGAAGAGTAAGACAGACAAGAAGAGCTTTGCAAGAGCTCTGAAAACTGAACTGTCATTGAAACCAAATCCCAAAAGAGAAAGCCAGAACCTACACACTAAACCTAATGGAGCAATCGCTTGCTAAAAAAAATAAATAGATAGATAGACAGATAAAATAAAATTTAAATAGGATCAAAGTTCTCCTAACATTATAAACAAAATGTCTAGAATGCTATTGAAAATCACTCATCACATGAAAAACCAGGAAAATCACAATTTTAATGATAAAAGACAATAAACTGATGCCAATCCCAAGATGAATTAGATGTTGAAGTTAATTATCTTACAAAAAACAGCCAATATAAAAATGCTTCCAGAATAAACTTCAAATTATCTTGAAACAATTTTTTTTTTAAATAGAGAATGTCAGCAAAGAAACAGTCATTGACCCAGCCATGATGGCATGGGACTACATGGAAGACCCATGTTCAGCTCCTGAGCCAACTTGAGCAATTCAGTGATAGTAGTGTATACTTGTAATCCTCACTCACTGAAAGGTTGTGCAGAGGGTCTCATGGATAAAAATAATCTTTCTGTATCTTTATCTCCCTCCTTCTTCAATGCTCACTCATTCTCTCTTATTTTAAAAAAGGAAAAAAAAAGAAAAAAATAAATTAAAGTTACAAAAATTGACAAGTGATGAGGAAGTGCAGAAACTGGAACTCATACTTGTCTGATGAGGCTGGAAAATAGTACAACCACTTTCAAAGAGTTAGAGAGTTACTCAAAATGTTAAATAAAAAGGTACCCTGAGACAAGAAGCCATTTTAAATCTGAGGTGTGTCCTGGCACATTCAGGGACCAAGGCAACTAAAGTTATGTTCTAAACCTTATCTCCTAGACCCCCAAAACACACAGACAAGTAGAGGAGAGATTTTTGTCACACAGTGAACAGAAACCACTGCAGGGGCACAAGAAATATGAGAAACCAAGAAAATATCTCTCCCCTAAATGAAAAGAACAATCCTTCATCATCCACAGATAGTATTATGGAACTCATGGAAATGTCTGATAAAGAATTCAGAATATTCATAGTGACAAAACTAAACAAGATCCAAGAGCTAAGAAACAACAAACTCCAGAAAATGCAGGAGAAAAGATACAAAGAGTTCCAGGAGGTGAGGAAGTTCTTGCATGATCTGAAAGAGGAAATACACATCATAAAAAAATAATCAAATGGAGCTGTTAGAAATGAAGGCTGCAATACAGGAAATCAAAACCTCCCTCAAAAGCATTAAAAGCAGATTAGTCTATGCAGAAGATCGAATCTCAGATGTTGAAGGCAAAATAACCAAGAAAAAACAACCAAAAAAAAATTTAGGAAAGTAACCAAAAAAAAAAAAAAAAGATAATACTGTACAAAAAATACTAGATACCATTAAGCACCCAAACATCGAGATAATCAGTATGCCAGAAGGTGAAGAAATGAATAAGGGCATTGATCATCTATTCCATGGAATCTTAGAAGAAAACTTTCCAAATCTAGAGAGACATTCAAATATCCAAACTCAAGAAATACAAAGGATCCCTAATAGAATCAATCCAAGGAGATCTTTTCCAAGGCACATCATAGCCAGATTGGCCAAAACCACAGATAAGGATATATATTATAAATCTTTAATATATATAATATATATGCAAGCAAAGAATGGGAAAATATATTCAAAGGGTTAAGTGAAAAACAGTTTCAACCAAGAATACTATACCCGGCAAGGTTATCCTTCATATGGGAAGTAAAGATAAAAACATTCTCAGATAAACAAAACCGAAAGAATTTACCAACACCAGACTAGCTCTTAAAGAAGTTCTGAAAGGAGTGCTTTACCAGGAAAACTAAAGACACACATATAGAAATAAGCTAACAAAAAGCAACCAAGAAAGTGACAAACTTAATGCTAGGGACAAGAAATAGTAATAATAATGTTGAATACTAACTTCCAAGATTTAAACAAAAAGATCGGACCACAGTAACATTGCAAATTCAACAGAAGAAATATTAATTACATGAGACTGAACTGGTGAAATAGAATTTTATGACTTTTGAGTAAAACATTACTGTCTTTATCTTTACTACGCTTTGTTTTCCCAATTTAAGGATTTTGCTTTCTTTTGAGCTGTTGATAGGTTTAGCAATTTGTTAAAATGTTTCTTCTTGTTGTTTGTTTCTCTAAATGGAAATGTAAAATTTTCTCCCTTCTTGAAAAAAAAAAAAAAAGCCCGGCTATGAAAAAGAGACATTACATGTCTCCACTTAACATATACTGGCTGGGGGACCAGCAGTTAGCATAATGGCTATGTCGCTGGACTCCCATGTAGTCGACCGCAGTTCCCGTCCCAGACCCGGTGGCTTAAAACTCACACTAGGCACGTGTGCATGCGTGCCCAAGATCCCAAGAGGAGAATGGAGAAGAAGGGATTGCGGCGTGACCATTCCTCCTGGGGGTTGATTTCTCGCTTTCTGTCTCTCTGTCTCTCTCTGTCTGTCTGGCGAGCACACGCGCCCTATAGCAAAAACCTCTCAAAAAAAATAATAATAATATACTGGCTGGATGCACTCTATGGTAGAGACTGAGAGATTGAAGAACATAAAAGCATTAAAATTGTAATGGACACTAGAGACAAAGTGGAAATAGAGTGTAGGAAATTTGGGGGGAAATGGAAAGATAAGATGTTTGTGGGACACAGATAAAATTTATTATCTTTTGATGAGGATGTGTATGATGGTCTCAACTGGGCAGGACTGAGGTGTATATCACCCTGGGTAACGTATCTTCATAAACTAAATGATGTATAGTGATTTAATGTATGAATAATAATAAAAATAAATTTTAAAAAATGTTTACTTTTCTGTAGGAGACATGGAGATTCAATGTCAAGGTTCAGTTTTTTTTTGTTTTTTTTTTTTGGAGAGATTTTTACTGTAGGGCGCGTGCGCTCGCCAGACAGACAGAGAGAGACATAGAGACAGAAAGCGAGAAATCACCCCCCAGGGGGGATGGTCACGCCGCAATCCCTTCTCCTCCATTCTCCTCTCGGGATCTTGGGCACGCACGCACACGCGCCCGGCGTGAGTTTTAAGCCACCGGGTCCGGGACACGAACCGCGGTCGACTACGTGGGAGTCCAGCGACATAGCCATTACGCTAACTGCTGGTTCCCAAGGTTCAGTTTTTTAATACGGATTTGTAGTTGATCCACAAAAAAATTAATTAATTAAATAAAGGGATACCCTATGGCCCCAAAATTTCACCATTTGGTAAATTTGTAAGAGAAATGGAAAGTTAGGTCCACACAAAAACCTGTACATGAATGTTTATATCAGCATTGTTCATAATAAAATTTGCATTAGCTGATGAATGAATTATTTTAAAATGTGATGTATCCATGTTGTGGTACATCATTCTGCCATAAAAAGAAATAAAATATTGACACATACTGCAATGTGGATAAACCTTGGAAATATTATGCTAAGTCAAAGAAGTCAGACACAAAAAGGCACATACTGTGTATGATTCCATTTATATGAAATGTTCACAGTCGGTAAATCTAGACACATACAAAGTAGATTAGTGGTTGTCAACACTGGAGCAGGAGGAAATGGAAAATGACTGCTAAATATACAAGCCTTCTGGAACCAATACATGGTGTAATGGTTACATCACTGGACTCCTACGTAGTCAATTGTGGTTCAAGTCCCACACCTGGAGGCTTAAAACTCACGTCAGGCATGTGTACATGCATGCTCTAGATCCCAAGAGGAGACTGGAAGAGAGGGGATTGTGGCGTGGTCAATCTCCCCGAGGGTGGAGGGTGAATTCTCACTTTCTGTCTGACTCTCTGGCAAGCACACATGCCCTACAGCAAAAGTCCTCCCTCCGAAAAAAAAAAAAAAAAAAAAAAAAAGATATAAGGCTTCTTTTTGAAGTGATGAAATGTTCTGAAATTAACTAGTGGTGATGGGGTGATGGTGCATCATTCCAAATATACCAAAATCCACTTCATTAAACACAAAAGAGTAAATTTGAGGTACATGAATTGTATCTCAATGAAGCTTTAAAAAAAAAGATTTTTTTAAATTTTTGTTTACTTATTTATATTTTTTATACATTCAACCACTGGATATCATTACAGCTTATAAAATGATGTGACTGTCCTAATTCACCAAGCATTGCCATGCAGAGCTGTTGGAACACCAGCAGGCATCGTTGAGTCGCTAATAAATAACTCATATTGAAAAAAATTTTTTAATTAAAAAAACTGAAAATATGATAACTTAAATTTTAAAAACTCAGTGAATGAATCCAATAATAGAATGGGCATGATAGAGGAGGATACTGG